CCTCTTCTCTGAGGTGTGGTCATTGCCCCTTCTGCTGTCCTCTGTCAGAGCTCTGCCAGGTGGTCACAGGTCATGCCGGGTACAGGGGAGGAATGAGCCCTTACTCTGAACTTACAGATAAAGGGCGACTCTCAGATGAGTAGTTAGGGTGCTATATGATAGTGCTTTAAAGGATGCTGTGTGAAGGGCATCAGGGGAGTCAGGGAAGGCAAGATGAGAAGGAAAAAGGTGGCAGAACTCAGAAACCCAAAGGGGGCAGGCAATTGAGGTGCCCTTTTGTGTTTGGGGAGCAGCGAGGTCAGTGTGACGGGGGAAGCGTGGAGGCAGAACCAGGACATCTAATACGTATCTGTTTGGAATTCCAGGAGAATTCATATTTGAAAAGATAATGACTGGGTGTTTTCAAGAATTGTTGCAAGGTGCTACTTCTCAGATCCAAGAAGCCCAGTAAATCCTAAGCAGCATAAATAAATCCCCACCTAGACACATCATCAGGAGACTGCAGAACACCAAAGAAAGAGGACATCTTAAATAAAGGCACAGGGAACAGAGGATGTATTACAAAGGAATGCAGTCTCACTGACAGCTGACTTCTTCACAGTGACTGAGCCAGAGGACAGCAGAATAATGTCTTCAGTGCATGAAAGAACACCAATCCAGAGCGCCATGCCTAGTGAAGCGCCATTCTTCTTCGAAGAATGATGGTGAAATAAAGATGTTTTAAGTTTTGCAACAAGAAGAAGAAACTGTTACCCATCCAGAGTTCTGTATTCAGTGAAGGTATTCTTCAAGAATGAAGTGAATAATGGCATTCTCAGCTAATAGAAAATTAAGAGAATTTATTGCTAACATGTCTGCCCCACAAGAAACTCTGAGGGAAGTTCCTCAGGCTGTTAAGAAGACAACCAGATGCAAACACTTGATCTTCAGAAAAGAACCAAGAACATCAGAAATGGGAAATAATGTGTCAGTATATTTTTAAAGCAATGAGAATATAGAAAATTTGAGTAGGACAACTTACAAGCACATGAATTCATCATTCCTAGGTATTGGAGAATATACATTGTTTTCAGTCACATGCAGGACTCTTAGAAAAAATTGATCATGTGCTTGGCAAAAAAACAAAACTGGCCTAAACATACTGCAGAAAACTGGGATCACATAGAATACATTTTCTGACCATAATATATTCAAGCTAAAAGCTAATAAGAAAAAGATAATTAACTGAAGTCCATACTCTTGACATTTTAAAGACATTTCTAGATTCTTGAGTCAAAAAGAAAGTGAAAATCAGAAACATTTAGAAACAAATAATGTAAATAATTCCTATCGGAATTTGTGGGACAATTGAAGCAATAGTAAGAGGAAAATTTATAGCTTTATATATTTACATTTGTGAAAAAGAAAGGTGTAGAATTAATGAGGTAACATGAGCAGTTAGAGGTTAGATTAGCATTACAGTTAACCCTTGAATGGCACTGGGGTTAGAGGTGCTGATTGCAGCAAGGTCAAAAAATATGAGTAAAACTCAAGAGTCCACCCTTGTGTATGTGGGTTCGGCATCAACATATTCAGTCAGCTGGTATCTGCAGTTGGTTGAATTGGAGAATGCAGAACCCATGACTAGAAAACAGTTCACATGTAAGTGGACCCGTGCATTTCAAACCCATGTTATTGAAGGAATGTAACAAAAAGGGTCAGAAAACAGAAATTTGTGAATTAGAGCACAAATGAAATAATATCCACAAGATATTCCCTGATTCATTGAAAAGAGTAAAAGATTGGTAAGTTAAAAAAAAAAAACTTTTTAGTTAATTTAACTGAAGAGGAAAGGTACCGACAGTATTAGGAATGAAACAATATAACTACAAATACTGTCCAAATTTAATTCTTTTGGAAAAATATGAAAACTTCAATGTAATGGACAAATTTAAAAAGAAAACTTATGAAAACTGAATGAAGAACAATTAAGCCCTCTGAATAGAGGTAGTCCTATAGTTACTAGGCAAATTGAGTCAATACTTTAAAATCTCCTCACTTCCCAAATTTACTCAGGGTTTTCCCTGGCAAATTCTAACACTACTTAAGAAGCAATTTCACTTTTATACCAAACTCTTCCAAGGATAGGAAAATAGAAGTATTCGTGCTCATTTGTGAGGTTAACATAACCTTAACACCAAAATCATTCAAGATATGCAGTGAGAGAATAGACAGGTCAGGCTAGTCCCATTTAGGAACATAGATGCAAAAACCCTAAGCAAAGAAACACTTGTGAAACCAAAACGAGAAAAATATAAATGTGATATAATACATCATGAGAAACTTTGTTTGCAAAGGCCAGGTCATTGGAAAATGTATCCATATAGCTTATTAATAGAGTAAAAGAGGGAAATCATGATCATCTTCATAGAGGTCGAAACAGGTTGGTGAGATTCATCAGTCATTTATTGCCAAGCAATATATTGCCAAATATTGTCTTAGCAAATTTGGAATGGAGAACTTCCATAATCTGATAAAGGTCTTCGCAAAGGAGAAAAGCCTATAATGGTAAATGCTAACATTTAATGGTCAGATGTTGAAAATTGATCCTGCAAGACAAGGATGCTGACTGCTCTCCAGCTTTATACTGGGCCTGGTGTTCCCAGCCAGTGCAGTAAGATAGGAAATGTACATGAATTGGAAAGAATTAAGCAGCCGTCATTTGCAAGTAAGATGATCACAGAAATAAAAAAATTTCTACAAGTTTTTTTTAGAATTATTAGAACTATAAGCATAAATAATTAGGATGAATTTCAGCTAAGAGTTTAGCCAGAATCCTGGATATAAAAATCAGTGTACAAAATTAATTTTTGAGCTTAACAATAAATAGATAATAAAATTTTAAATGTGCCTGTTCTTGGAATAAGTTTATGGAGGAAAAGAAAAAAAATAAAATTTCACTGAAAGATATTAAAGAAGACAAGCAAATGGGGGATTGCCTATGATTTTGATTCGGAAGACTCACAGTGATAACAGTTTCTTCACATTGATCTGAGATTCAGTGCAATTTTGGTGAAATCCCAAGTTTTTTTTTTTCTCAACTTGACAAGATCATTTTAAAATAGATACGGAAGAACAAGGATCCAAGAAGAATAAGCCAAGAATAATCTTATTCTTGAAGAATAAGAACAGGATTGGAATTTTCTGTTCAGGATATCAAGATTTTCATCATCTTATCGGTGAGGAGAAGCAGAACATGCAGGGATAGGGAAAGACATACTAGTCAGTGGACCAGACTAGAGAACCCAGTGATAAATCCATGAAGAGCTGACTGTGACAGAGGAGGAATGCTGCACAGGTCAGTGGGGAGAGGTGCTGGGTGAGTTGTCATAGAAGCAGATGGGAATTTGAACCCTTATTTTTGTACTACATACAAAAATCGGTCACTGATGGACGAAATATATAATTGTGAAAGGCAGATCTTTCAGAAGTTACTGTACAAGAACAACTTTGACACCCCCTTATAGGGAAGGATTTCCTAATTGTCAGGAAAAGCACAAGTATGAAGGAAAATACGACTAGATTGAATTTCATTAAAGTTAAGAATTCTATTCATCAAAAAATACCTTAAGACGACGGAAAAGAAACACTGAAAATTGGGAGAAGTTACTTGTGCAAGTAAAGAGTTTAGTAAATCAGTGTTCAGAATGTAGAACTCTCTTAGATCAGGACAAGAGATAAACAATGACACTAGAGAAGGGAGGAAAGACTGGAGCCAGGGACTTGAGAGGAGTCTTGAAGGATTATATGGGACACAGAGATGTGCAGGGCCATTAAGGAAAAGAAAATGTAAGCCAAAACAGGAAAAGTAACAGTTCACACCCACCAGATTGGGGACCATGAAAAAGTGAGCTAACAATAAACTTATGTTAAGTCACAGGTCCCAGAGTGGCAGGACCTGTACCTACGGCCAGTGGGCACATCACTTGGCAGGACTGCATGAGGTCACTCTGCATGCCTGGGTGAAGGGGACGGGACTAATCACTGCGGTTCTCTTGTGCAAGAACAAGCAGGGAAGCAAAAACCAAACCAAACCAGTGCCTTCAACAGACTAATCAAGCGTAAGCCTCTCCCCCCGCTCCAAGAAAGGGAACACATTTCGATTACAATTCAACACAGATGAATCGCCCAAATAAAACATGGAGTAAACAAAAGCCTGACACACAAGAATGTTCACAGTCTGCTCCGTTTTTATAAAGTTAAGAAAATAGACACAGGTAACCACTACCTTGTTCATATGTATCTCTGTGAAAACGAGAAGGAAAATAAAGAGGAGACTAACAAAAAGTTCATGGAAACTAGGGTGGAGGGCTGCCAATGTTGGGGGGCACTTTCTGGTCCCACACAGGCAGCAGTGACTGCTACATATTGGTTGTGGTAATCCACTAGAAGAAAGAAGATGCACAAATACACATGTATCTATCTCCATGTTACTGACATGAAGGGTTGACACCTTACAATGAGTTCACTTCTATTTATTGTATCCCTAAAGGAAAAAAGCCAGTTGTGACCCAGTTTAGTGCTCAGCACATAGGTGTTGGTCTTATTATCCTCTTTATGCTGCGCTCATCCTCTTTGATACCCTTCTAAGGCAGAAACTGCTAAAAACTGGTGGGAAGAGACCTGTGCTGCGGCCTGAGGCTGAATGTCCCAGGCCAGGGGAGGAAACCGGATTCTGGGAGAGGGGGGCTTGAATTTAGCTCAGGGAGCCCATTGTAAGACCTCCCATGGCTAGGAGCTTGTTCCTTCCCAGAGGGCTGTCCTGGCCCAGTGCACTCTTCAAGGTGAGGTTCCCTGGGCTTTGGCTCTTCCAGTTTTGCTGGCATAGGACAGCACCTTTTGTTTGGCTGGCTCTCCAGACCCTAGTATGGCTTACATGGCTTACAGTGATCTTTTTCTTCTTAGCTCAATGGCCCAGGACTTATGTGGACATCTCTGAGCCCTACCCTGCCTTCCTACAGGTGCCAAGTCAGCAGCCTCTGTGGACCCATGGGGTATTCCCACCGGAGCCAGCTCTGTCTGTCAGAGCTCAGACCCGTGGGCAGCCCCGCAGCAATCTGCTCCCAGTGCTGGGAAAACAGCTGACGCCTGGGCTGCAGCCTCAGCCACAAAGCCTGTATCCACCTCTGGTGAGACCTCAGTGCCCCAACTTAAGAGCCTCTTTGCCCAGCCTCTGCCCTCTTCCTGGCTTCTTGGTATGGAGCCACTTTCTATACTCTTCCCCCCCCCCCCCCCCAACAACCTTTGTCCCTGATGCTACGTATCCAGTGTGAAAGGTGAGTTCTGGGTCTCTGCATCTCCCTCTAGAGGAAGCTTCCTGAAGATGCTCTGGGCTGGCTACCCTACTCCTTCCAGTAGCTTCCTGTAGGCCCTATCCAGGCTTCCTGATCCAGCTCAGAAATGTCTCCACCACCGTTAGCCTTCCTTCAGTTGGGGTGGGAGCAGTGGTAGGCAAGTGCCCCATTCTGTGCACAAGGAGGTCAGGGTTCCTGGTCAGGCCCTTTTGAGGTTCCCAACCCACCAATTAACCCTGAGCCCAGGTATCACCCCATGGTGTGGGTGGAGATCTGTCTTCCCTGCCCCTGCCCACAGGAGAAGCCCCCACTGAAACCCACCCCCAGGCTGTAGACTGGGAAGTGGGAATGGGAAGCCAAGACACACCCACAGTCACTGCCTTTTCTGTTCTTGCAGGGGCCTTTGATCTCTTCAGTAATTTGAATGGTACAATTAAAGATGACTTTTCTGAATTTGACAACCTCCGAACTTCAAAGAAAACAGGTATGGAAAGGTGCAGTGGCTTCTATAACATTCTGTGCATTTGACCAGTCCAGTTATTTGAAATAATAATCACCTTTCAAGACCTATCTTCTTGCATTTACGTTTTGATCTTGGGAGCTATAAGGGTTTAATTGGGGGAACGTACACATCAACAGTGAAGTCATATAGTTTGAGTTTTTCTTTCACCCTCTCCTTGTCTTGGGCCCTCTGTTTCCTGTCTCTATCACCTCTGTCCCAGCTTCAACCCCACATGGGGCTCCATGGGTTCCCTGGCCCAGCATGTCTCCCCCCAAGTCTGAGCTGTCATTTCCATTCACCTTCCTTCTCTCAACTTGCCACTCTCTAGAGGTGTCACCTATCCTGGACAGTCCCATCTCTGGGCATGGACAAGTTATAGCTGCCCCTTTTCATCCTAAGGTTGCAGGCCCCACCTGCCCCGTTTTAGCACCTCTGTCCATGATCCACAGTCAGGTCTCCAGGCCCAGCTCTCCCCATCTCCATGTCCCTGGGTGGGGAGGGGGTCAGGGTGGGTTGCAGAGACTGTGCCTGGAGGGGCAGAGAAGGTCTAGGATGCCTTCTTCACACACCCCTAAGTGGAGCTGGGGACAGTGGGGCAGCCTCTGTCCCAGGGCCACACCTCCCAGCCATGTAGAGCAACTTTTCTCCTTTCTCTTTCCTCTCAGCTTCTTCCCTGTGCTCTCCCCACTTCCCTCCCATCTCCTCCCTCCCACGTCCTCTACCTTTCCCCTCAGCTGCAGCTACAGGCCTAGCTGGTCCTGGTCTAAGGTATGAGCAGCTTGACACCTCTGACAACCCTTTTTGTCCCCTCAGCTCAGGGAACCAGTCAGCTTAGAATGTGCTGCTTCTTGGGGTCTTTCTTTTGCTGCATTAAAAAAGCCAAGATTCCGGTGTCTTCTCCACAGGCCAAAGCACAACCTAACTGTCCTTGCCCGACCCTCCATGCCTCTAACGAGAAGGCAAGCATTGTCTGTGGACTAGCAGAATATTTACCCCCAATTCTAGAAGTATTCCCATTGTAAAAAATTTGAGAAAGTTTATGGAAGAAAAATGAAAGTCACCTATGATCCAGCCACCTACCCTTAGCCACTGTTACCTTCCAGTTTTCTCTGAGCTCTTAAATACAGTCTTCTTGTTGGTGTTGAGCTCATACTGTCAGAGTTGAATCTTGCTCCCTTCCCTGACTTTCATGGAATTACAGATGGAAAACATTTTCTCATAACATTAAAAATTCTTTAGAAAATATTCACAGCTATAGACTATCTCTTTATGGCTCAATAATTTAATTAATAATTTATAAGAGGACATTTTAGGTTGATTTCAAGTTCTGCTAAAGTAAATAATGCTGTGGTGAACGTCTTTGTGCTTAAATCTTTGTTCACATTTTGCATTATTTCCTGAGACTGGAGTCCTAGAAATGGGATTACTATGTGGAGAGTATGACCATTTTTAAGAACCTCTGTACCCACTGCCATGTTGCATCTTGGCAAAGCAACCATATTTCCCTCCAGTGTATCTTAGCACACCTTCTATTGGCTGAATTAAAAAAAAATAATAATTTGCTTTCTTCTTACTCTCAAGAAATTCATGTTCATTGCAGAAAATTAAAATATAAAAAAGGTCACTATCTAGCCACCAACCCAAACATCCTAATACTTTTGGAGGCTGGTGTTATTCATACTGATTTGTCCCCCACTTTTGTCACTTAATATTGCTACACCATTCTGCTTCCTTATCGAATCTCTTCTGTCCCTACATTCTGGGGGTTGGTTATGTGGACAGTAGATTGTATAACCTGCCCTGTAGCCGACTATCTCCAGTTTGGGGATGTTGGAAACTACACTGCAATGAACATCCCATCCTCTGTACAGCCTGGGGTTCCCTGGGAATCTTGCATCCGGGGATGTTGGTGTTCTGCTCTGGATGCTCCGGGGTTGGCAGTGTTGCATGCACCAGTCTGGGACCCCACCCTACACTCTCACCAGGCCTGTGTGTATCCTTGTCTTATAGCTGAAAAGGTGGCCTCTCCACCACCCCAAAACAATGGAACTACAAGCCCTGACCCTTTTGAGTCTCAGCCCCTGACCGTCACCTCAAGCAAGTCCAACAGCGCCCGGAAAACACCCGAGTCCTTCCTGGGCCCCAATGCGGCTCTGGTGAACCTGGACTCACTGGTGACCAGGCCAGCCCCGCCGGCCCAGTCCCTCAACCCTTTCCTGGCTCCAGGTATGCTTGCTTCCTCTGGCTGTCTGCTGTTTCTGTGAATGTGAGTGGATTGCAGGTCTCTGGGCCTTCACCTTCCTTCCACCTCTTGAGGGCTCTTCCACTTGTGGTCCAGCCATACTTGGAAACTGTGCTCAGGAGCCTTTGGTCTCGGGGCTAGAAGGGGTGGAACCAATCCTGGACCCGTACTTTATAGCCTGGGGGGTGGGGCATGAAAGTGCTGTTCATCTCGGGGTGGGGGTAGAAAACAGCCCCTCTCCTCTCAGTTGAGATTGCCTAGCAGAAGCTGCCCTAACTTGGTGTTCCTGGCCAACAAGACCCTTCAGCAAACCCCAGTTCTTAGTCATTTGGAGAAGGGTGGTACTGGGATAAGGAAGAGCCAGTATTCTGCCCAACATACCCCTTTTTGGGGGGCACACTTCAGGGACCCAAAGATCCTCACTTCATTCCTGGTACTGGATTCTGTCTTTGCCACCCAAGGGAATCTTGTCCTTCCCCCTCCCTTCTCCCTCTAACCCCCAGGTCCCTCTTCCCTGCTGATGGGGTATATCTAAAAACCTGCTCTGTACCCTTAGGGGCTCCATGGGTTGTGGATGAGCTCCAAGGACTTGCTTGCATGTCCAGGGCCATTGTGGCCCCCACCCCTTATTCTCCCTGTGTACATGGACTCTCAGCTGCACTGCCTCTGACATACCTTACACACACAGTCCGTCCCTGCCTCCTCTCTTCAGTGAGACAGAGTTTATCCTCAGCACCCAGCTCAGATAACCCTCTCCTTCCCCACAGCTTTGCTTTCCCAGCAAGGCCTTGGGCTCCCCAAGGGCAGGAACATGTCATGTTCAAAGTGTTCAGCTTCAGACCTGCCCCTTGAAGGGAACTAAACATCCAGGGTCCTGTAGGGGGGAAAGACACAGGACTTAAAGGAGTTGAGTCTGGGGGCTCTAGGGCAGAAATGGGGTATGTGAAGTACATAGGTCATACCACGTCCTATGGTCCCCACAGGGTGAGGGTAAGGATGTGGTTGCCCCTGTGTCTCCTTTCCTAGACTTGGTGATGTTCTGACTAGCCACTGCTCCTCCGGCTCTCTCCCCAGGTGCAGCCTCGGCTTCAACCCCTGTCAACCCCTTCCAGGTGAACCAGCCCCAGCCGCTGACCCTGAACCAGCTTCGGGGAAGCCCTGTACTGGGGACCAGCACATCCTTCGGGCCTGGCCCAGGTGTGGAGCCTGTGGCTGTGGCCACTATGACCTCCACGGCCTCACACCCAGCTCTGGGGGCCAGTGGTTCCTCCCTGACGCCCCTGGGCCCCACCACAATGAACATGGTGGGCAGGGTGGGCATCTCCCCATCAGCTGCTCAGGCCACGGGCACAACCAACCCTTTCCTTCTCTAGTGCTTGGACCTTGGCCCCCCCAGCAGAGTGAATGTGCAGGGCGTGTGCCCGAGGATGCCGAGCAGGGACTCTTGTTTGTAGAATGGTGTCTGAGAGTTGGGATGGGGATGTTAGGGCTTTCTAGATCCAGCTTCCTGATAAAAAGGGTTGTCTTTACAGCCCGACCCTCAGATTCTGTCTGTGACTGGCTTGGTGAGACAGCAGACATAGCAGGCCAGTCTCCTGAGGTGGGGCTGTCCCCAGCCCACATCGCACAGGAGGGCTTCTGACCCAGCCTGGCCACCCTCTCGCACCTGGCACCCATGGAAATTGGCTGGCTCTCCATCGCCTTGGGTGAGGAGGCAGGGCCCAGTGTTGGCTGTTGCCCCAACCTCAGCCCTAGGGTCTCTGGGATACTGCCTAGCCCAGGACTTGGGACGGTCACCTCATCTTTACCCCCAGCCCTAGCAACACCCTAGGTAGTCCCAGGTATGGCTAGAAAGAAGTGTCGGCTCCATTAGATAGTGACCTTTTGGGGAAGTGGTTGTGCATATTTTATTTTTCTTTGACTCATGTGAGTTCAAAGGTAACAGCACCACCGTGGAACAACTCTTGAATTAAATCTAGAGCAAGCTTTAAACTAATCTGAGCATAACCCTGCCACGTGGCTCTATGCTTGTATACGTTTGCACATATTTTGTTTAGTACAGTTTCATATTTGAGTTTGCAGAATTATCTAATAGTCTTTTTTTGGCTAATATTTTTATAACGTGGTTCTTATTTAACTGTCTAGTTTTGATAGAATTTACCAGGTCTGGCTGAATGAAGATATTGGCACCTGTCATGTTAGTGGTTTAAATCTTATTTATGGTTTTAACTCTGTAAGAAAATTTAAAAAGGAAGAGACAAAAATATGCCTTATGGAAAAACTAAAGCAAATTCTTTATAGGAAAAAATACGGGAATTTGATTACACATAAAAGATGATGTTTATTTAAAAAAAAAAAAAACTACAACAGCAACAAAAATCCTAGCCTCCAGTTGCCTTTTCCTTTCTTTAACTCCCCCTTTTTTTGTGAATCACCAAGAGATTAACTCTCTGCCTTTTTTGGCTAGATCCTAAGAGAGGCTATTTTTCTTACTGATATACCAACATCAAGAAAGTTTAAAAGAAAAGCTAACGTATGAATGTGACTCACCAGTTTTTATCAGCTAACTCCTTTTTGTAACTGAAGGCATGCACAGCATTAACAAGGACTTCCGTTTGCAGTGGAAATCTGAGATGGAAGCGCCATCTTGAACCTTGTGTGTCTGTGATCTCCTCTGTCTTAATCCATGCTCAGGGTGAAGATGGGAATGGTGTGGAAACGGCAGTTGCCTGGGAGCCGTGGTGCTTCCGTGCCTGTGGGTCCCGGGTGGATGGCCCCCCTACTCAACCAGGGTGTCGGACCAGGGCTGGCCCTGACCCACCCACCTGCTAACTCCAGATACATGTTGCAGATTTTCAAATAATCAGCTCTTATTTTGGAGAGGAAGGATAAAAGCATTCTCACCCAATAGATTTTTAACAAACAGGCACTAATATTCTCTCCCTTTCCCAACCTCCTGCTTTCCTCCTCACCACCCACCACTTAAAGTATTGTCATGAATTAAAGGTCAGAAAAGACTTGCTTCCCTCCGGGGAAAGGACATGTGCCCTGAATCCCATGTCCAGTCAGCTTGCGTGGCTGGTGTTTCGGTCTTGCTTTTCACTGCGGACTTCTCTACTCTAGCTCCGCTGGCAGCCACCCACCTGGCATGGCCTCCCTCCTTACCCCTCTGGTTCCAAGGGGAGATCTGACTCTTCTCACTGGGCCAAGGGAGATGTAAAATGCTAGAGGTATACAGGCTGATTCAGAATTGCCCACTCAGGCCACTCTTCTGTCCCTGTTTAAAAAAGTTCAAAGCTGCTGCTCCCCTATTCCTCCCCTCCCCCCGAGGCCATCCCAGAGCTCCCGACCAGCCATGTTTCTGCCGGAATTGGAGAGCTGGGGCTGAACTGAGGGGCTCCTGAGTCATTTCAGAGGCTGTGTCTGGTCTCTGGCCTGGGGGAGGCTGGAGGCAGGGAGGACTGGGGCAGGATGCTTCCCAGGAAGGTGCTTTCCCTCACTTGGTGCGCGCCTGGACCACCTCACAGTTCACAGACCAAACTCACCTACATGGTTCAGTGATTCTTTTCTAACAGACAAGAGCCCTTCCTGATGTGACTTTGAGGCCCCAACATTACAACCATGGCCACTGAGGCCCGAGAACACTCTGGCCCTGCCGCCCAGCACAGGCCCACCCCCTGGCGCCTTGTCACTGTTGCCCGCTGCACTGATCATGAAGCCACCGGCTCCTGCCACGCGTGTTGCACACATGCCATCCTGCTCCTTCCTGACTGGCACTGGGGTAGGAGGTGTCATCCAGCCGTTTTCTCAGTCCTAGGGGCCGGTGGCTGGTTTTGAACTTGTGTTGACTATTGATACTTATTTACTGTATAAATATAATTTATCATTTGTATCATGATACGGTTTCTGGCTGTGTCCTTCCCCCACCCTCAGTCCTACCACACGAGAGGGTGGCTAAGCAAGGGAGCCAGTTCCTGCCCAGACCCAGCTCAGCCTGAGGTTAATGAGACCACTGACTTGGGCCCCCTGCCTAGGCAGGCTGGGTGCCTGCTTGGTGCCTCTGGATATCAGGGAAGGACATGGCAGTGGGACACTGCAATGGTCTGCAAAGGTGTGGAAGTGCTGGCCATGGTCCTCTACCCCTTGCTGTGGCCTCATCATGAGTGGGAGCAGTTCACCACCCGTGGACTTGGGGGTCTAGCCACAGATGTGCATAGAGTGAGGTGTGACAGCAAGCCAGTTCCAAAGTTGCAGGCCAGGGTCCACTGAGCTCTAACGCATCCACATGCACATCACCAGAAGAGCTGCCCCTTAAGAAGCTGACCCTCGAACCTGCAGATTTGTGGATAGTAATTGTAGTCACTGGCTCCTGGGCGACTTGGGCAGCTTTACTGTGGCACAGCTGACTGGGTGCAGAGGGACTGACCCTACTCAGTAGATGGAAGAGGCTCTTCTGATTGTGGAAAAGTGGGTGGCAAGGGCAGAGGGTGAGGGTGGGGGCTAAAGGGAGATGCAGATGGAAAAGTTCACAGGGGTGGGCATACAGCTTCTTTGGTGAGACCCCAAGTTCCTACCTCTGCTCTGGGGCTGCCCTGCACCCCCATATTTCTGCACTGAAAATCTGACCTCCCAACACCCAGTCAGGGAGGAGGATTTGCCATGGGGGCTTGGAGCAGCTAGGGTGCCACTTTGAGGACAGGTGAGGGGTGCGTTACGTCAGGGCACACTAGGTTACACTGTAGTAACAGGACTCTGTGTCTCAGCAGCTTAACACAGGTTGACTTTCACAATCTAATGCCTATTGGGCAGCTGTCCAAGCAGAGATCAGGAGCACTGGCTGCTTTCTTGTTGTGACAATGCCTCCTTCAGCATGGTCCAGAAGGGAACGAGCAAGCAGAGTGATGTTGCCAAGGATAGCTGGACAGAACGACAAGGTAGCCAAGTCTCTGGTGGACATGTGGCAGAGTGATGTCCCAACATCAAGAGAGCCAGGATAGGGAATGAGGAAAATGCTAATGAGGAGCAAACACACATGGGGTGTGGGAGCAAAAATATGCTGCCTTTAAGATTGCAGGGGACAGTGGGCTTCAGTTATGGCTAGACAGTGAGGGAAATTTGCATTCAGAGGTTCAGAATAATCAGGAATTTTCCTGATGACAGATCCTGAGTTCCAAAGCATAGTGATTTGGGGCCAGAGAATGGAGTACCGTGAGCCACATAAACTTCTGATGCTGAGAACTAAATGAGAGAGAGTGTTCGTGTGGCCTCTTAGAGCAATTCCAGTTGCAGCCAGGGCAGCATGTAGTGGTAGAGTGACAGTCTTCAGGTGGGAGGCAGGGGACCTGCCAGGAGCCTGAGGCAAGGCACCTTATGGCTTCCCTTAAATCTTGCTGAGGTGCTGTGCAGGCTGTGGGGAGGGGGCAAGCTGTGTCCATGCCCAGAGAGTTCACCTAAGTGCTACAGGATATGTGCAGGGAAGTGGGGCGGGGAGGGTCCTAGGGACTGTGCTGAGGGGGCCCAGTTCACCTTCCTCGCCTGCTGAGACTGACTGGAACACTGATTCCAGCAGTTTCCCACCTATGGAAGTGAAGTTTTCAGCCCATCCTCTGGGCTGCAGAGGTGGGGTCAGCCCGAGGGTGGGCTGGGGTCTCTCCATGCAGCTCCTGCTGACAGTACTCTCCTTGCCAAGGCAGGTGGTGGTCATGGAACATAGTTCACAAGTGATTGTGCAGAGCTCCCAAAGCCTCCAAGGTGGATATGCCCAATCTAGGGGTGTGTTGAGGTGTAGAAAGAGTCACAACTGTAAGTGGCAGAGCCAGGTTAAGCCCAAGCTCTCATCCTAGTTGGCCATTCTAGCATGCCGTCTCTGGCAACTTCTAACCCCTGGGCAGTTGCCCCTGTAGGGTTGGAGTGAGCCCCTCAGGCCAGCAGATGGAGGGAAGGTGCAATGAGAGGGGAGGGGGGCAGCCCTAGGCCTGGCCACTATGGAAAAGTCACACTTTATTATATAAAAATATCTCCCCAGTCCTGCTCCCGCCCCACAAGCTGCACTCAAGGCAGATGGTGGTTGACTCCCCAGGACAGCCCGAGCATTATCTGAGAACCGCTTGGTCTGCTGGACTGCATGGCCAGACTTGCTGGTGGATGGCCTGGTGCCTTCATCAGGGGAGGCCCTGGGGTGGGCTGGGCCCCAAGATGCTCTGTGTGTCCGGAGGCCCAGTGTCGTAGCCCAGCTTCCTCATGTCCTTGGTCACCACGTTGAAGAGGAGAGTGACAAAGCCCTGGGAGCGTACTCGGGTCACTGGGGACAGAAGGGCAACATCAGGCTGGAGCAGAAAGAGATTCAGGCTGCTTTGGGAATCTCTTCCAACCTTAGCATTCTCATCTGTCAGATGGGGAAATAGTGCCCGGCCCCTGCCCCTCACTGGGAAGTAAAGGGGCAGCAGTGGAGACAGACTGACATGGCAAAGCCTCTCACCGCCCACATCTGGGAGGTGCTCTGGGAAAACCCCTGGGCTCTACTCCAGAAGCACCAGCGTCTTAGGGCCTGGTGGGTCCCTGATATCCACACTGTGTGTTTCCTGGGGACCCACCTAGACCCTCCTGGGCTCTAATCTGTCCATGGGGTTGGGGTGGATTGGAGTGCATCAAACTTTACCTTCCCGGCCTTCACCCTGAGCTACCACCTTGGGGTCTGTGTACTCAGGCCGCCTTCCCATGAACCAGCTGTGGAAAGAAAGGAGAACACTAGGTCAGCAGGCTGGCCTGGGGATCCCCAGACAGGCGACATGGTCACTCTCCTTGTTCCAGACACCAGCAGCCGTCTTCCAAACCCTTCCTCAGGGCTAGGCATTCCACACCACCCTCCTGACCCGTCTGAAAGGCAAGGTGGTGCCAAGGCAGTGGTATACTGGGTTGAGACCCATGGAGGCCTGGGGACCCCAGCAGGCTGAGGTGCTCTGCAGCTGGATGATGGGCTTTCCCATGGGCCTCCATGGGTCTTGTTCACTGGGATGAAAGAGGAGGGAGATGTGGAACTGAGGTGTGGGGCACAGCCCGAACCCAGGTGGAAATCCTAGGAAGGTAACAGTGGCAGGTGCAGGGGGGCTAGAGGTGAAGGCATCTTGTCAACTGCTGTGTAAAACATTAATCTTGCGATTTACACTTTTGGCTCTAGTTCTAGGACACCCCTGCCCACGGATGTGCCTGCTCTGTGGTGGCAGACACTACTATCTAACCCCACAGTCACCCTAAAGGGGGCGCAGTACTCAGCACTAGTGCCCTGGCACATCACCCCCTACCTCCTGCCCCTCACAGGAGCCTCGCTTGGTAAATCCCCAGCTCACAGAAGCTAAGAAAAGTCAGAGACTTGCCCTCGGCCACATTAGGCAGCAGTGGAAGTAGAAGTAGCAGGGGACCTCCTTACTGTCCCTTGGTGGCTTCAGGCTACCAGGTCAGAGCAGCTTTTTCCAGAGCCGCAGCTTCACCCCTGACATACCCACTTGAACTGGAAACAAACAGGCACACCATCCTGGCCAGACACCCAAGAAGACCTAGTGGTCTCTCAGCATTGAAGTGCCTGGCACCAAGTCACTTGGGTTCCCCGCATTCCTGGAGAGGCCCATCTTCTGCCGCAAGGCAGCTCCTGCGTGGGGCTCCCAGTCTGCTTTCTGTGAAGTAACTGACCCACAGGGGCCCAGGTTCCAGATGGGTAAAGCCATACTCCCCACCACTACCCGACTGGGAGAGTGTGCCCATGGCCCAGCCCAAGCTGTGGCAGGCCTATGACGGTGCCCTGTCTCAGGCAGGTACCAACCAGCACCCACCCGTGCTGCCCAGGGGACAAACTGGCAGCTCACACTGTGGGAGAAAGGAATGACATGACCGCCTTGTCTGCCCATAGGCTTTGTGGAGACGCAGAGCAGCACCATGGCTACATGACTTTCAGGGGACAGGGGCCCAGGGTTCCAGCTGGGGGCTGGATGGGTACAAGACTGCCTCCCTGTGCCTCCATTTCTCCATCTGGAGTGAGACATGAGACACGGAGCAGCCACCGCCAGCCTGGCACATCCCAAGTGGGGGTCTGCTCTGGCCACCGCATTTCTCCTAAATCGATGAGGGTGGTTTGTTTATCTAACATGATTTGCACAGAAGGAGCAGGCTGTTCAGAGGAGATGTTCCAGGAAGCAGCCAGAAGCAGGGAAGGATCCAGTGGTTCCTTCCCCTGGGAGGAACCCAGGCAGGTGGGACTCGAGTGAGAGGGTGGAGGGCCTCACCGCATCCTAGTAGCCTTAATCCCAAACACAGAGCCAGGGCTGAGTGGTCTCTAAAGCCAGGTTTAGGAAAAGCATTCTTGCTGCTCTGTGAAGACCAGATGTGAGGCTGAATAATGGCCCCAAAGATATCGTCCCAGTCCCTGGAACATGCAAATGTGGCCTTATTTGGAAACAGGATCTTCGCACTTGTGAGGATTAAGGTGAGGATCTTAACATGAGAAGGTCATCCTGGATCACCAGGCTGGGCCCCCACTGTCATCACCAGTGTCCTTGTGAGAGGGAGAGGCCGTTGTGGCTCTCACGGGCACAGGGGGGTGAGCCCACAGGCAGAGACAGGAGTGAGGTAGCTGGAGCACAGGAAGCTGCAGCCACGGAAGCTGGAAGGGGCAGACAGAGTCTCCCCCGAGAGCCTCGGGGGAGGATGTGCTCTGCCCACACCTTGATTTCAACCCAGTGAAACTGATTTTGGACTCTGACCTTGAGAACTTATGAGAAAATAAATTTCTGTTGTTTTAAAACCATCAAGTTTGTGGTCATTGGAGGAGTTGCAGGAAACTAGAACAGAGGCTGAGAGTAGAAATGGGCAGGCCAGCTGGGCTAAGGAAGGATGGATGAAGGAGGCCATGGGAAAGCACAGAAACTGGGAGGTGTGGGGGAGAGGGAGGCAGGGTCGGTGCCTCCAGGGCGCTGGCATGGGGGCTGCTGGAGCCAGTAACATGGTGGCACTCCTGGTCCCATGTCTGAGAATATTGTGTCTGAGAAAAAACTGCCTTCACTAATTTTCTGTAATCCAAGCACACACCACTTCATCCAGTAGGGAGCCCCGCTGAGGGCAGGAGACAGCCCCCCGCATAAGCTACTAGCCTGCAGGCACTGACAAAAGCCTTGACTGCTGTGTGAGCGGTAAGGCCTTAAGTCGTCAGCAGCGGAACCTCAGAGAGCTCGGGTGGAGCTGTGGGGTGTAAAGCAGCGCGAACATTCCGACCAGACTTCAGTGTCCATCACTGTCACTGCCCCTTGCTTCCCCGCAAGCCTCCGAGGTGGGTATCATCCCCTCTAGCTTACTCGAGCCCAGGGCGTCATGGCAGCCTCCCAGAGTAGCTTCTAGGGGCAGTGGCACCCAGAGTGTCCCCTCACTAGGCCTCAGAGCTCAGGTCTGACGCCGTCCCTCCACCCAGCAGGGCTCTGGTTAGGTCTCACCCCTCACACTGGCCAGGCTTGCAAGGGGCAGCTCGCCAGCTGCTGACTGGGACCCAGGTCGTCCTCCATGTCTCCCTCTTCCCAGCTCTGAAGGGAGGGCCCAGGGCTCATCCCTGGCTGACCTGTGAGGGAGCAGCAGCGGCTTACCGATCGTCTGAGCTGACTGGGATTTATCCTCCAATCCTGAGTCAGACAGCTGCGCCAGCACTGGCCCTTCAAGCTCCTGTTCCAGCTCAGTCTCCCCCATCTGTCCATGAGTACTCCTGCCCACCTGACATCTCCCCACCACATTCCCGTTGCTCATCACCTATGCACCGCACCCCCCTCCTGGCTCCCAACATGCAGCTCCTGCTCTCCTCAGGGTCTCACACATACTTTTCCTGCACCTGGGTCAGTCTCCTCTCAGATCTCCCACACTGGGTCCTTAGCTCCATTCTACTCTCTTCTCAGATGCCACCTCTGAGGCTCCTGCATGTGAAGTCACCTAGTAACGGACAGGATCAAGAACATTTTCTCATCTGATACGAGCTTTTCTTCCTCTCCGTTTGACACAAAGACTTTTAACAGGACAGGGTAAAACTACATGGCTTTATGCTTCTGGAACAGAGGCTGAGGGAGAGCCAGGACCCTCAGCAGCCCCACAGGACGTGTTTCCATTTGTCCCCAAGACTCAGGGAAGCTTAAAGATCTGGCAAGGTTACCTGGCACAGTAACTGTGTGGGGCGGTGGGGTGGGGGAGTGTGGTGTCCCTTCCTCCACTCCCTCTACCCAAGTCAGGAGGAGGACCTGGGGGTTGGAAATAGAAAACTTACCTCGTAAACTGCTGCAGTTTAGATGTAGATTCTGGGACAAACATGGGGATGGTCTTTTTGTGCCTAAAACAAATGCCACAGACAGAGGTGCTGAGTAAGAGAAGTGATAGAATGTTCTGAGTCTCAAGTGGGCAGAAACACAGATCAGGTTGGTGCCAATCAGAGCCAAGGCCAATCAGTCCAACCTGTACTGACCACCACTGTGCCCAGACTCGGCGCTCAGCTCAGGGAGCAGGCAGTGGACACCCAGGTTGAGTACCGTCAGAGTCTTGTTTATCTGAAGGGTCAGAGGATGCTGAGGATTGCCAAAAATCAAACCTGGGTCCTATTCCCACTGCCCTTCAGAGAGGCCATTTTTCTCCAGCTGTCCAAATGCCCGCCATCTCTGAGGCCTACTTTGGATACCTTCCTCCAGGAGGCTCCTGACAACTCCCAGACCTTATTCCTGTTGTGGTCACCTGCCCTAGGCTGGTCCTTGGAGCCTGGGGTCCAGCCCTTCACTCCCTGGATCTCTCTCTCCACCATCCCCTTGAACTCCCATCTGGCACTTTCTGTTTCCATGAAAAAAACTCAGAGCACTCCATACACCTGCTTCCTTCTCCTTCCTTCACCTTCTCCAGACAATCTCCTAGGTGTTTAAGGCCAGCTGACCCTGACCCTCCTCTGTGCCTCAGAACACCCCATGTCTATACCCAGTCACTATGCTAGACAAGAGAAAATGTGTCTCTCCATCTGTGTCTGCTACTCTGGGAGCTTCTGAGGACGAGACCACGTGGCCATACCTGCACCTGAACATCCGTGTGCTCTGATGCCAGCACAGAAGGGGCATCGACGAGAGCTCACAGGATGGGCAGGGGCAGGGGAGCAGGCAGAGAAATGAAGGCATGAGCTCTGTAGTGGGCCAGATCCCTCTCAAGAGCACTGAGATGATCTCTGGTAGGCCCCCCAACACTCTTGTACCCAACCTGGTGTTTGGTAGTAACATCAGCCTCACCCATGTGGGTTTCCTCCCACATACAGGCTGCACCCCGACACATTCCCAGCCTAAGTCCAAGTTGGAAGAAGAGATGAAGTCTGTGCCAGGAAGAGCCCTGCTGAGGTGCCCTGGTTCCCAGGCCAACAAGGCCCAGCGAGGACAGACTGTGGCCCAGGGACAAGTTTAAAGCCAGAACCTACCGGCCGGGTGAGAAAGGCACGTGTACTGCCCCGTATCCTCGGACCACATCATTCCCGAACACATCCGGTCCATACACGCTGAGCACAATCTGGGGCCCTTGGGGAGGATAAAGCAGGAGGTTAGCATTTGGGGAAATTTGGAGAAAGGGGGTGGGCAGAGAGCAAAGAGGACAGTACTCAAAGCCTGGAATAGTGGGCAGGAGCTGACATGGGACCTCCCTCTGTAACTCCGGCTTCTGCAGACCCAGAATCCAAGGTGGGGGTTGGAGGAGCTGTTGGACAGGGAGCCACAGAGTCTGCCATTTGCAAGCACAGAACATGCCTCTGACCCAGCTGTGGACAGAACAAAGGGCCACTCTTGGGAGTGAGTTTCCTTCTGGGGAAAGTGGTCAGAAGATCAGTGTATATTGCAAGGACTCAGGCCAGAGAGGGGGTTCATTGGGGGTGGGGGTTCATGCCTGTGGGAGAGGTCAGAGAGAGAGCAGAGACCTGCCATGCTCATGCTTCTCCTTCTAAGACATGGACGAAGACACCTCCTCCCGTCAACATTGAGGCACACCAGCTTTCTCCAGTACATTCATTGTCTGGATGTAGAGATCACCACCCACAGGACAGGTGATGAGGGGTGAGGCGGGGAGGCCCAGGTGGCCAGGCTCTGATCCCACTCCCCCTGGGCCTGCCTGAGCACCCCCTCATTGTGCCCTTGGGTTCCACACCTCTAAGACACTAGACAGTGCCTGGCAGTGTTGGGGGACAGATCTATACCCTTCTTGTCACTGCTCCCAATGGAAACCACTATTTTGATTTTATGAAACCACTTTTCTTTAAGCTTCACCATCAAAGAATGCATCCCAAACATGCTACTTTGTAGATAGTCTTTATCAGATTAAGGGAGTTTCCTTGTGTTCTCAGTCTGCTGAGTGTCATGAGTGGATGTTGAATTTTACCATGTTTTCATTTATGAGATGATCATGACTTCTTCTTTTGGATGTGGTGAATCACACCAATTGATTTTAGACGTTATACAAGCTTGGAATTTCTGAAACAAACACTACTTGCTGATGATGTACATTATCCTTTTCATATCCTGCCAGAACCAGCTTGTGAAAATTTTGTTTGGACAGCTGCAAACAAGCTCAAGGTCTGCAATGTTCTGGAGCCGAGCTGCAGCCATGGGGCTGGCCTGCCTCTGCTGCTCCCTGCTCCCCGGGCACAGCTTTCTGAGGTGCCAGCCTAGGGGGCAGGGGCTTTCATGATTCTTGTACCGCTAGCCCAGAAAGGCTGTCGAAGTCTGACTCAGCCTCTCAATCACCCCTACTGGACTCAGCATATATTCCCAGGGTGATGTGGTTGGGTCTCATCTCTGGATTTGTTTTTCTCCTGGATCTTAGTCTAGTAAAATGCCACGACTTTGCTAGCTCTCTGATGCCTTCAAGTAAATTGCTTTTTAAATATTTCATTCACCTCTCCCATCTGTCCTCAGCAAGAAGAGGCCCAGAAAGGGTTCCAAGCAGCCCCTGTTTCAGACCTTCTGCACCCAGGAAGCCTGAGCCCAGACCATATGCAGGAAGACCCTGATTAAGAAATGTGATGGACCTGAAACCAAACTCGTACTTAGTTATAGATGTACAGCTGAAGGCAAATGATACCACTTTTTGAGTCTCAGTTTCCTAATACGGAAAAAGACGTGGAGAGGACTCTATCTGCCAGATAGGATTAGGAAGCTTGGATAAGTTACATAGGGAGAGTACTCATAGCTCCTGTGGTGCTGGCCCCGGGCTTTTGCATAAGTCGGTGCTTACTAAGTGAGAGTGAACAACTAGAACAGCTAATAACTGCCAGACAAAGCTTGGGGGAAAGCTCAGAGGTAAGATGTGGGAAGGGCATCCCAGGTAGAAGGAACAGCATAAGTCAAGGTTCAGAAGAGGAGACTTGCTTAGGCCAGGCGGCTTGGATTCTGGAGGGGAACACTAGATGGGAAGTTGAGAGACATCAGGCCAAACTGCTGTAGCCCCAGCGACCAGGCTCTATCCTTTCCAGGTGTAGAACTATGTGGGGTTTCAGGTGGGGTCTCACTTGATCCACTGACCCTCCATAAAGTCACCTACACAGCACAGGGGCGGACTTAGGTCAGTGCGGAGGAGGAAAATGCGAAGGGAAATGTCAGGTGGAAGGAGAATACATTACAAGTCTGGTGTGGGGCCCTAGTGTGCAGTGAACCTCTAAGTGGAGATTGAAGTGTGGATGATGGTGGGCAGAACGAGGTGGAGACTGTCCCGGCTGCCTCCCCATCCCCCAGCCCAGGAGGCCATGCGGACTCACAGCCATAGGGGTTAGTGCTTTTGAAGGTGACGTCAATGGGGAAGTTCCACACCAGCGCCTGCCGCACATCTTGGCTCTTGGATGTGATCTGGGAGATGCCTTCCTCCAGACCCTGTGAGCACAATGACAGTGACAGCGAGTGTCCAGGCTCCAAAATGCCAAGCCCCTACTTACCTGGGTAGACAGTTGGGAGGGCTGTTTTCTTAACTACCTCTGCTAAGACACTAACTTCTAGACAATGGGAACCATTAGGTCTTAACATTTAATTCCACCAAAGCTTGATAACCTTGAGAGCCTCTGCCTGTCCCCTCACCATGTTGATGGAAATGGTTGCAACAGTCTGTTATTCTCTCTCCATGTCTACCCAGATCATCCCCATGGCAGTCATCTAGAGGTTATTTTCTCTATTACAAAGCATCACTGACTCCTGTTCCTCTTACCATCAACCCATCCTTTGCTACCCTTTAGAGCAAAGCACCTTGACAGCTTTGTAGATACTCATGATTCCAATTCCTTCTCCTTCTTTCATAAACCTACTTTTCTCTGATTTCTGGCCCCCACCCTACCAAAGTGTTTGGTCAAGTAACATCAATGCCCCTGGTATTTTATAGCTATGGTCACTTCTCTCTCCTTACTGTACTTGGCCCACCAGCAGCATCTGACAGAGAGGGTCACTTCCTGAAATCTCCTCCGCTTGGTTTCTGGGAACCCCCTCATATCTGTGGGTCTCTCCTTCTGTTCCATTACTCCTGTGTGCTTCCTCCTTCATGTGGGAGCATCCTGGGGCATTTTCCATCTCAGCAGTCTCATGACATTCCACATGTATCCCCAAACTCATGTCTCTGGCCCGGTCCTTACCTCTGAACTACAGCTGTCCCACAGCTGATGCCTCAGCTCCATCTGACACCTCGTGGAACCTCGACCCTCACACATGCCAGGCTGAGTTGGGGAGTTTGCCCAAACTCTGCTATAGCCAGTTTTCTCACTGAACAACTTTAGCTAAAAAGCTTGGCATTAGGGCCTCCCTGGTGGCGCAAGGGGTTAAGCACCACACTATGAAGCAATCCACAGCCTCTGCAGCATGAGTTCGATCCCTGGCTGGCCAGGGAGAAACCCACATGGTGAAGCAGACCTCTCTTGTCTTGCCCGCTGCTCCCCTCAGCAGTGTATTTCATCAGTCTGCCTGTTCTGTTCCCCGCTCTGTCTCTGGTGGATCCTCTCACCTGCCACTGCATCTCTGTGCCCCAGCTCTTGTATGCATAAATAAATAAATCTTAAAAAAAAAAAAAGCTTGGCCTTATTCTTAACTACTTCTTTTCTCATGCCCCAGGTATGCCCGGCAAGAAAAACTGTTGGCTTTTATCAAAATGAACTTAAAATTCAACTGCCTTTCAGTACACCCCCCTGTTGCACCTGGACCATGCCACCTGTTTGCTGTAATAGTCCAGGGTCTCCTTACTTTGGCCCTTGCCCCTCCCCCCACGGTATACTATGAACACAGAAGCCAGAAGGCTATTTTATTTTATTTTTTTAAAGATTTATTTATTTATTTATACAAGCACTGGGTACAGTCAGAAGCACGGAAGGGTGAGAGAATTCACCAGAGCCAGAGTGGGGAGCAGAACAGGCAGACTGACGAAGTACATGGCTGAGGGGAGCAGCGGGCGGCAGGAGAGGTCTGCGCGCCATGCGGGACCCTCGTGGGCGGCCAGGGATCGAACCGGCCCTGCAGAGGCTGCGGGCAGCTTCACAGCCCAGCGCTCAACCACTGCGCCACTGGAGAGGCCCCAGAAGGCTATTTTAAACACCTAAGTCAAATCTTTCAAAAATGCTCTGAGGGGGTCTAGTCCCATCCTGGGTAAAGGTAAGTAAGATCTACCCCATCTCCCCCTTCCCTGCTTTTCCCTTGCTCACTCTGTTCCCAGGCCACATGGCCTCCTAGATGTTCTGCCAACATGCCAAGTACACTCCTACCTCAGGACCTTTGCACGCTGTTTCTTCTGCCTAGAAAGTTCTTCCTACAGACTACCACATGGCTTGTTCCCTCACTTCCCACAAGTCTTTACTCAAAAGTTACCTTCTCAGTGAGGCCATCCCTGGCCACCTTATCTAGATTGCAGCCTCTCTCTTGTCCTTCACCCTCCCCTTCCTGAGTTAACTTTCTCCTCAGCATGCATTACTAGCTAACACACTAGAACATTATTACTCATTGTGTGTCTCCCCAACAAGAATGTGCACTCCAGGCAGACAGGGACTTTTGTCTGGCTTGGTTCACCACTGGATCTCCAAGATCCAGAAGACATGTAATGTAATAAGCAGCTATTCAATCAATGGGTGCCCAAAAAATAAGTATTGTCATCTCAATCATAAAGATGAGGATGCAAGCTCAGAGAAGTTAAGTAAGTTAGGCCTCCATTTCTTCAACTTCTACAAAGATTAAACAAGTACACTGCAAACAGTAAAGTGTAGAGTAGGCCCAAGGTGTCATCAAATTCCCTCTCCTGGTGGAGTCAGGCTGCTCCTTGAGAGGTTGTGGAAGGAAGGGTCCTGTCTGTCTTTTTGACTCTCCAAAATTTTCTCCATGGGCTGGGGAGACGCCAAACAATGAAGGAACTAGCCCGGAGTGTCTGCAACTTCTCTGGGGCCTGCCTGCTTGGCCTGCACTGACCACACATTCCTCTGCTGCCCTGTGCAAGCTGAGGGGTAGGTGCAGCCTGTGGGGGGTGGGGAAAAGGGGCGAGGGAGTGGGGATGGGTTAAGGCAACCGACTTGGCAGCATTCTCCCTCTGCTCCAACTTTACCAGTAAGAAAATCATGTTTGCCTCCCCTCCGCCCTCCACCCAAACTTGGTATATATTTCTCTGTGAGTTTTAAACTGGGAGGGAAGAGTTGTGATAGACACCTCCAGAAACCCCAGCAGTCAGGAGGCTTTGAGTAAGGGGGGCCTAAGAGAGGTCAGCTTACCGCCGTGGGAGCCCAGTCCTGGCCGTACACAAAGCAGTACTTGCAGTAGAGATCATCATACTCGGGAAACTGTGGAAACAAGCACAGGGAGTCTGTTGATGTGTTGAGGCCAGCATGTTGGTCAGGCAGGTAAAGACAACAGGAATTCTGAACATGAGGCACTAGGGATGGGGCTGAAGAGACAGCTAGGGTAGTGGGCATGGAGTTCAGTAGACGGGCTGGGGACTGACATGAGAGTCAGAGGGAGAGTCCAAGGCTGGGCTGCACACTTTGCTCAGGCCCTGCCTTCTATCTGACAAGCCTTCCCATATATTCATCTGGCAAACTCCTGCTCAACCTTCGAAACTCATCCTTTAGGGAATCGTCCCTAACTTCCAGAGTAAGGGGCCATTACTTGGTTTCTTCAGCCCCTCGTGCTTCCCTCCATCCAAGTACTGACTGCCTGCGCATGTTTATTTCTGTCAAAACCCATTAGACTTAGAAAAGGGAACAGGTCTGATGCCTTTCTGTGTCCCAAGCACCTGACGGAGGGAGGCAATAATAAGGAAACAGTGCTGACGTGATGTCTGAGGCACACACACACACACACACACACACATTACTTAATGTATATACATACACATTACAAGATACATATATATTTTCTAATGTATCGGGGGATGGAGAGTAGCATTCCCTTCCAACTCATAGACACACTCTCCCTGAATCATTCTGGCCACCACCATCGCTGGATCCAGTCAATCCAATCATCATTCTTACCCAAGTTTAAGGATCTGGGGGTTCAGAAAGCAGAGTACTCACTGCGCACAGGACATGGCCTGGACCCAATCACTTTAGGATGAAGCGGGTCACCAGCATTAAGCTCCTGGCCATAACTCAACCAAGTGCACATTCCAAGCCCGTGGCCACAGTCTTGACCAAGTGTAGCGACCCCGATATTAGTTTAAACTCTAGAGGTCTGTTTCCACACCGGCAAGTCGAGGCTAGAACATTCCCAGCAACCTCACGCCAAGCCTCTCGAATGCTGGTCGCCCTCTCCCGCCCAACCGAGGGCCAGAGCCCCAAGGAATGACAAGCTTCTCCAAGGCCAACACCGCAGCATGGGAGATTGTGGGACGGGCCCCGGAGGACTCTGAGGCCAGCGGCGGTGGGATCCACGCTCGCTCACCTGGGCGCTCTCTACCTGTCCGTTAACCATGAGTAGGAAGACGCTGGGGCTCGCGGCCGCCATGGCAGACGAGGGGGAGCGGGTAACCCACCCAAATTGCGCGCACAGTGAATAGGAGGCTCTGCGGTTGCCCTGGAAACAGACGGCGTGGCGCGAGGGACACATTTCATGGACGTGGGCTCTTCGCGAAGGCGAGGGCCGGAGAGCCGCGCTGCGCAAGCGCAGTCGGGGCCGCTGCCGTGAGGGGCGGGGCCGGAGACGCGGCTCGGCGGCCCCTCCCTGCTCCGGGGACACAGCGGCCCTCCGCCCCAGGCCGAGGCGGAAGTGTGGGCCCTTGGGGTACAGCCCGGGCCCATCGCCCGATCCTGATTCGGTTACACCCTCCGGGAGTGTTTATCCACTCGGACTCGGACTCACCCGGCTCCAACACGCGGAGGTGCCGCCCTGACCCTGGCCCGCCGGCGGCCAAGCGGTGCAAATGGCCCTCGGCCACAAGATGTCGCTGTGGCGCCGTCGGGAGGCCGGGGCAGGGGGCGCGCAAGGAGGAGCCGGCGGGGCGCTGGCAGGGGTTAAAGCCCTGAGGGGACAGGGTCCGGGCCGTCTGGTCTCTGGAAAGCCGCTCCCTCTCTGCGTCCCATCAGAGGACATGCGCCCTTGTGGTTTTTGAGACCCTCGCCCCCCTCTTGTTTATTAGACACACTTGGTAGGCACTTCAAGAATCCTCACATCCAAGCCTTTGCTCTTCAAATATGAAGCTGGGAAATGGAGGTCCAACTGAGCAGCACCTGGCATCCCAGTCACCCAGCTGTTGGGGGAGGAGTGAGCCAGAGCCCACGGCTCTGTCAGGACTCCGTGACTCCCTGGTCACCCCAGTAGTTCACTTCTATTAACACATTGATCCATTCATTCCGCTTAGCACTCCCCATGGTTTATATTTGCACGTTTTTTATTGTCATAAATCAGGCTAGTGCTCTCCTCCCCTCTGCCCCCCAGACTCCAGGGGGCCAGGTGCATCTTTAGCACTGGTAACAGTTCGTTGGAAGAAGGAATAGTTGAATACATGTCCATAACACAAAGGAGGAAGCAGGGTCGGAGAGAAGAGGCGATCCAGACACCCTCAGGTAAATAGCCGAGCCAGGATTCAGATCTAGAACCCCACAGACTAGACCTTCACTGCTTTCTCTACCTGGTTCTAGGTCTGGCTAAAGGGTGCTGCTTGGCTTTGGTGTTGAAGATGGTATCAAAGACCTTTTCCCAGATTCAGAAAAGGAAGCCTTGGCCTTGGTGTTGAAGGTGGTATTAAAGACCTTTTCCCAGATCCAGAAAATGAAGGGGTACACAGGTGTGTAAACTTCAGGGAGGCCAGGTCCCAAACAGGGACCCCAGGTCATCACACCCTTCAGCAGCCAGCGGCTGGCTTGCAAACAGACCAAGGGGGTGCCATCAGATACCTGTGCAGGAGAGGGAAGGAAGGGTCACAGCCATCCCAGACACAGGGACCTCCCCATTCCCAGATGAACAAAGACCTAATTAGGGGAGGGGGGTTATGGACACCCAGGTTTGCCAGGGTTGCCAGGTCTGACTGAGATGGCAGAAGGGTGGGGGCTTGAGCGCAACAATCTGAGCTTGTGGAAACTGCTTATCTCCCTAGGACCTGGTCATACTCCCTCTCACACCCTTCTTTCCAGTGAAAAGAAAGGTGTTGGGAGGACATAGGACATAGGAGGGGTGTCTTCTTAAGGGGCAGGAGGCCCAGGGGTGGCTACCAGGGGCACAGATAAATCAGTTACCTGGGTGTTATAGAGTGGGAGACCTCGGGTAGGGTGGGAGAGTGTCCAGGCCTTGCTCTACCAAGTCTGCTGGCGTTAGGAGGGATTGTGGAGGAAGGAGTACCTCAAGCTTGCTTAGGGCTGGCTAGAATCCTCACCACCAGTTCAGGTGGGCCCGCTGGGGGCCTGGCACACTGGGAGCCCTTAGGCAGGCTGACCTTCAGGTCAGGACAGTCAGGTTGAGTACGAAAGGTGTCTTTGCAGGTGCTGAGGTGCAGTGGTTTCAGCAGGACACGGTGCAGCTCTCGAGGTGGGATGTAAGGATCTGCACGGGGGTGGGAGGCGGACCCTCAGCCCAGGTGGCACCCAATAGGTCAGTGCACATCTGAAATTGGTTGTTAACTTACTGCAAAACTTCCCTGCCTGCCCAAGTCCTGTGGCCCCAACACTACCGGGTTTCTGACCTCCTCCAGCACTCTTTATCCTTACCTCCCTGTTAGCACAGTTCCATCTTTTTGAACGCACTTAAGTCTGAGACATATTGAGCTGTGGGAGGAGCTGGGGAGAGTACTCTGTGCCAGTCATAGGGCTGGGAGGAGCTGAAGGCTGATTCAGACATACCAGGTAGTTGGTGCCCACTCTCTACCCTGAAAGCCCATGTCCCTGATACTGACCAGTGGCTGGTGGGATCCACGTTCGCCAGGCCCGAGGCGGAAGTGTGGGCTGTTCTCTGAGAGCTGGGCTGTTCTCTGAGACCCAGGGACTCCAGAGCCCTGAGCTCCACTCTGGCTCTCGCCTTACCCAGGACAATGCTCCCTCTGAACCATCCCAAGTTTCTGTTCCCATGCTTACCAAAGTCAGGCTCAAACCCTTGGGCCCAGCAGAGCTGCCATGGGAAAAGCGGTTTGGGCTGGGTGGCCAGAGGGACAGGCTGCACAGCACTGCTGAGAGGTGGTGGGCTTGCCAGCCGTGCCAGGGCCAGGCCACCAGACCCTCCTGGAGACAGAAGCAGCTCCTTTACGCTTGACTTGTTTTTATAAGTGTCCAGTGCCAGTCGATCTGGACCCAGGGTCACAGTGAAGCGGGACAAAGGCCAGCTGTGGAAAGCGGGAGGTGGAGAGGCTGAGGCTTCCCTCCCTGAGCCTATATCACCCTAGGTCCCCTACACCTACCTGCCAAAACAGTTGGCTCCTGTGAGCACCCACTCTTGGGAGACGAGGGCCCCCTCACAGCGGTACCGGGTGTCCATGAAGATGCTTGCCTGCCAAGGCCACGTGGCTGGCACCTTCTTGCTATAGGCCTCAGCCAGCTTGGGCCCTGTACATCAGGATTGAAGTTGCAGAGCTCAGTTCTGGGTCCCGTTTCATAGATGCCATCCCGTCATCTCTTTCCAGGCCCTGGCTAGCCTCTGCAGCCCCAGCTCCCAACCCTTACCTCTCCAGCTTGAATCCTACCTGCAGGGACACCTGGATGACCTGGAGAAAGCTACTCAACCTCTCATGACCCAGAAGGTTGTTGTGAAGATTAGAAATGATAGTATAGGACCTCTCTGGTGGCACAATGGGTTAAGTCTCTTACTATGAAGCTATTGGCAGCCTCTGCAGCATGAGTTTGATCCCCGGCCAGGGAGGTGACCCACATGGCGCAGCAGACCTCTCCTGTCTTGCCCACTGCTCCCCTCACAATGTATTTCAGTCAAGCTGCCTGTTCTGCTCCCCACTCTGTCTCTGGTGAATCCTCTCACCCCCTGTCACACACACACACTTATACCTCTAGCCTACACCCCAGCTCGTGTATGCATAAATAAATAAAATAAATCTTAGGGGAAAAAAAAGAAATGATAGTATGTGTCAGATACTTTGATGGAAGCACAATAGATTTATAGCTATTCTTATTAAAAGTAGTTCTTGGGGGGCCTCCCTGGTGACGCAAGGGGTTAAGACGCAGCAATATGAAGCTCTCTGCAGCCACTGCAGCAGGAGTTCGATCCCCAGCTAGGGAGGTGACCCACATGGTGCAGCAGACCTCTCCTGACTCGCCTGCTGCTCCCCTCAGCAGTGTGCTTAAGTCAGTCTGCCTCTTCTTTTCCCTACTCTATCTCTGGTGAATCCTCTCACCCCCCATACCTCTGGCCTCTACCCCAGTTCTTGTATGCATAAATAAATAAATCTTTTTTAAAAAAAGAGTAGTTCTTGGAATACTCATGTTTGACCATGCTTCTAGGTTTGACCATGCTACTCCCTGTACCAAGATATGATCCCTTCCCTTCTCTGCCTGGAGAACTCATGTTCAGCCTTCACAGCCCACCTAGGTGAAGTCTTCCATGGAATTCCTCTCTCTACCCCCCACAACCTGTACCCTGGGAAGATTCCCTCCCCTTTCTGCCCAGAAGCTCACTATAGGTGCATGTCCAGCTCTGCTTACTTTTATTTTAAGACAGAGAACTGGGCCTCCTTCAGCTGCCTGCCCTGTTAATCTGGTGGACACTCAGGATCTTCAAAGATCAGGCCTCATCCACATGGAGCTCCTCCCTACAGGTAGACACCCCCACTGCCTTCACCTTCTCTGTCCTGTCTCAGGTTCCTGTTATTTGAATCCAAGATAGTTATTAATTTTAAGAGAACCTAGACTTTCAATTCTCAAGGGTTGGGTGGCCCCCTTCTGCAGCAGCTCTGTCACTTGCCCCCTGTTTCCCAGGCCTCCTACCCTCAGCAGCTCCTTACCAAAGAGCAGCAGTAGCAGCAGGGACAACATTTGTAGAGCAGGCCTGGATCTCATCCCTATGGGTCTGGCCTCCTCCCTTCCACCCAGGAAATTTAACCTCTCCATGTTCCCTCCCCACCACTCCCTTAGCCCACGTCACCAGACAAAGGGGAACTGAACTGGGGAAGAGGAAGCTGGTAGGGCCTGCTCCCGGGCACATGGCAGGAGACAGGGGTCCTGCTGACAGAACTTGGCCCGTTCTGGCTACAGGGGATTCCTAGCCATGCTCTGCCTCCTGTCTCAGGTTAGGGGCAAGGAGGGAAGCCAGCCAAAACATCAGTAAATATAATCCTACCTTATGTCTTTTTATATCCCCCAAAGCTCTGCAGCACCACATTACAGGAGGTGAAAGTTAATAAGTCTTTCATGAGGGACAAAACCACAAAGCTCAGAGATGGATAGGGTCTCACCAAAGTTGCACAGCACGTGGGGAATGTAGCTGGATTGGCTAGTTCATGGGAGGAGTAGCCTCCAGGGTGGGAATAGAAGGAATAAGCACCTGGGATAGGATTCTCATAGATTTATTGAATTATTGAATTGCTCCAGACAAGTGTAAAACATGAACACCAAGGTCATGAGAGCCAGCTACTGAGGCTAGAGTTATCACTCACTCAGCATGTCTTTTTTGAGTACCTATTGTGTTCTAGGCACTGTGCTAGGTGTTTGGGGTAAAGTTGAAAACAAGACAGACACACCCTCGTGGAGTTGACTGTGATGGGAAAGACAAACAGATATCCAAAATAATTGCAATAGCGATAAGTGCTCTGAAGAAAAGAATGAAGCAGGGAAAAGGGCTAGATTGTGCGAGGGTGATTGTAGATGGTGCATGAGGAAGGCCTCATTGAGGAGACTGAGGCAAGTTCCAAAAGAAGTGGAGGAGGGAATCATGCAAGGAATAGGGCTGAGCTCTTCTAGACAAAGAGAACAGTAGGTGCAAAGGTCCTGAGGCAGAATATGCCAGTGAAATGGAGAGGCAGACTGGAACTTCCTCACACTGGCTTGCCTTGACTCATAAGAGATGATTGTGTACAACTCTGCCATGGTGATATAATTTGGGTAGCTTAAAACCAGCCACAAAGGGAGTTTTTACACCATGGAAATTGACAAAGGCTAAAATTAAACCTTTGATTTTTTTTATAATTTTTTTTTTCAGAGAGCCATTTTTATTAGCTGAGGGTATGAGATAGGTTTAGAGAGTTCACCAGGCCCAGATCTCCCAGGGACTCAGAGGGGCTAGTGGTTTTGAGCTGAGGAGGGATGTGAATAGACTTGACAGGATCTCTCTAGCTACCTTGAGGGGAAGAAACTATGGAGTGACCACCACAGCAGAGGTGGTCATTGGGTAGGGTTGCCAGATTTAGCAAATGAAGATACAGGATGCATGCGATATTTGTGCGTAGCTAAAGAATTATCCTAAAATAACTGAGCGTCCTTATTTTATCTGGCAACTCTACCAGTAGGTGCCAGGTGAGAGAAGGGGGAGGCCCACAAGTGCTTCTGTTTTTGCCCACACAGTCCCTGAGAGGGAGTCTCCCTCTGGCCCTTCCCTCCTGGGGTGATCAAGCAGGGTCCCTACCTACCCTTACCCTAGCCCATACCCCAACTACCCCGGCACCTGTGCACACTCCACAGACAATTCCTTAGCCTTTTCTAACATGTGAGAGCGGATGTGGGCAGGCGGCAGACCACTGTTGGTGAAAGCGATGATCTCACAGGAAACGAGACAAAGCTGGAGTTGCCGCCACACCCTGGATTCAGCCTCAGGCCTCAGGGAAGTTGGTCTCTTCAACAACTGCCTTATACTCCCCCCGTCCCCCCAATCTCCCTTCCATTCTTCATGCACAGGACTCTGTGGGCCTGAGTGATGGACTTTATTCCATGAGATGGGGTTGCTAATTGGGGACACTATCTGATCTGTGTTAGTTTTTTTAAAATCTATGCTTTTCAACAGGGCATTTTGGCTGCTGTGAAAAAAATACATTGTAGGAGTAAGAGAGGAAGTCAAGAAAGAGGCAACTGTGACAACCCTGGTGAGAAATGATGCCCTGCCTCAGGACCTTTGCCCTGACTGTTCCCTCTACCTAGAATGTTCTTCCCTCAAGTCTCCACAAGACTCATCGCTCTCTTTTTTCGAGTACTTGCTCCAGTGTCACCTATCAGTACTTCCCACCTCTGTCCCCTGCTTTATTTTTCTACATGGTCTTATCATCTTCTGAGACACTGTATAATTGAGTTGCTGTCTCCCAACCAATATCTGACTTGCTCAAGGACAGAGCTTTTTTTTTTTTTAAAAGATTGATTTATTTATGCATACAAGAACTGGGGTACAGGCCAGAGGTGTGGGGGGGGGGGTGAGAGGATTCACCAGAGGCAGAGTGGGGAACAGAACAGACAGATTGACTGAAATACACTGCTGAGGGGAGCAGCAGGCGAGACAGGAGAGGTCTGCTGTGCCATGTGGGTCACCTCCCAGACCGGGGATCGAAATTGTGCTGCAGTGACTGCGGGTAGCTTCATAGTGCTGCGTCTTAACCCCTTGCACCACCAGGGAGGCCCAAGGACAGAGCTTTGCAACTGTTTTGTTCACTGCCAAATCCCCTGCACATGGAATAGCGCCTGGCATGTCTTAGAGGCTCAGTAATGGTGTTTGAATGACTAAAGTTTTGATTTAGAGGTTGGTAGAAGACATGGTAGAGGAGGGAGAGGGAGGTCTGACAGTGTCCCCGGGCACTTGGCTAGGAAGGAGGTGCCCTTTGCTGAGATTACATCCCCAATGACATCCATCCTGTGCCAGTGTCCCTAGTAGACCCAGGATCTCTCAAAGTACAGAGAGCAGCACAGGCAGCATGGGCAGGCTGGGGTGTGCAATTCTAGGATGGGCAATGGCAGCCTCAGCATGTTTGCTTTGCCACTGCGTTCTTTTGGGACCACAAAGGACGGCAGAGGCCACCCCTGCCCTGCCTGTTCATGGTCTGCCTGGGTGTGCTGCCTGAGGGAAGCAGGAGTGAAGAAAAGTGCTGAGAAACCACAAATGGCTCCAAGTTGGAGGCATCTGGCCATGAGGTCAGTCACCCACCCAGGCCTCTGGAAGCCAGGGACAACCACTTCCCAGCCAGCTTCCTGCTGACGCCCCACCAAAACCACACTCGACCCGGCGGGAGTGCTGGGATGTAAACACTGCTAGCTGGACCCAGGCCTGGCTCTGCCCCATCCTGTGCCTCATGGACACATGTGCCCCACTCTCAAGCCACACAGCCTTGCTGATGGGCTCTGGGCAGTGGTCCCCTTCTGGCTCCCTCAATTTGGAGTTTATTAGCTGTGTGCCTTGCAGCTGGCCTTGCCTCTGTGGGTTAAGCATTACCCACCCAGTCTCCTGCGTGTAAGGCACTTTCAGACAGAGTTTGTTCCTTCTTATTTCCCTCATGGCCCAGGGAGCTGGAGGCAGCTTGTCCTTGACCATTTTGGGCTCTGACCACTGTGGAGGAAGGAAGTTGTGTGTGCGTCTGTGTGTGTATGTTCCCAAAGTGTGTGTCTCAACAGTTTGTGTATGTCCCTGTGTCTGTTGTTCCTGCATGTGTATGGCCCTGTGTCTGCATCTATGCAAGTATATGTGCATGTTTGAGTAAAGCCCCATGTGACCGTAGTGATGTAAGAGTAGTCTGTGTGTCCCTGCTTTTCCACGTGTGCAGAGCAGTGTCCCCATATATTTTGTGCTTCCCTGCATGGGTGTGAGCAGGTCGTGTTACTGGGAACGTGAGTGCTTCATGGTAACTGCCAGTGTGACTGTGTGTGCCTGTTGGGCTTGGCAGTGCTGGCTGGAAACGGGAGTGGCAGGCCAAAGCTGCCACTGGCACCTATAATGACCACACTGCAATGACTACCCTGACCACACTACCACTAGAAGACACTGGGCTCTGGGTCAAGTGAGACCTTGGCTCCTACCACCTTTTGGAAAGAACCCAGGAGCCCCCAGGGCTGGAGGAGACAAGGGTGGTCTGTAGTATAGACACCGTGGACCCTGCATGGGGGAATCCAGCCCTCTTCCCAATGCCCCAGACCACCAGCCTGCAGGCCTCCTTAAAAGAGGGCTTATCTTGATCTTGGGCACAAGGACACTACCCACCTGCCCTCTTACCAGTATATCTGGCTTTAGTTCCTGTTGCCTGTGAGCTTCCTCCTCAGTATGTCTTCCACTTGATTCTTTCTAACCCTATTTGGAGGGCAGTAATGTGCCCATCTAGGCACTTGATTTCTGAGTCTCCTTGCAGCTTGGGGTACAGCTTAGCAATTTTGTCTAAGGAGAAATAAGTGCAATTATGCTGGGAGCCACCAGGAAGATGTTTGCCCTTGTGGTGACAAGGGAACAAATAGCTCCATGTCCTTTTCTCTCCATTATTATCCTGTCTGGAACATGAATATGATGGCTGGAGTGCAGCAGCCATCTTGCAGTCATGAGCTAAGACAGGCAAAATGTCATAAAGATAATGACAAAGTAGAAAAATAGAGCTGTAGTCCCTGACAAGCATTATAGAACAGCTTAATTGAGGTCAACAAAGTTCTTTGGATTTATTACAATGAGAGACATATAAATTATTGTGTGTTTAGGCCTGGTTGGTGGGTTTCTATTACTTTCAGCATTATGCAGTCTTAACCGATAATCCCAAATTGGGGGCTGGCTGCCTTGCACTTGGTGGGCTCCTCCCTCCCCGCTGCTCAGGGTCCCACCCACTCCTAGCCCCTGCTATTTGCATGGTTAACAATAAGATCATGTTCAAATTAGGCCCAGAACCAGTTATCATTTAGTCCAACTTCCCATTTTCAATCTTGGGGAGACTCCTTGCATGACAGGGGGTGCGATCACCACTTTAATATATACGGGGAGACTGAAGCTCAGTAAGGGCTGAGGCTTCTTGAAGGTTGTAACCTGAAGGAATTACAGCTCAGCCCTTAGCTCTGTGTTGGGATCTAAGGACTCACAGAGGGAGTTCTTGCTCTCCTTTTCCTCCTACAACCTGTCCCACTGGTGCCTTAAATGTCTGAGTTGAGAACAATGTCTTCTGTGACTTCATCTGTTTAACTCGCCCCCTTTGGGGAGCCAGTCTGATAGGAGCAGGATCAGGGGGGCTAGCTGAGGAAAGTGGGGAAGGATCCAGGAAAGGGGCCCTCACAATTGACAATTGCCTGCCCTCACAAGATTGGCCCCTGGAGCTGTGATTTGGCCACTAGGGCTTTCTCCCTGGATGCCCTAGCCACTCACTGGGTGACTGAACCATATTAGTCAGAGAGGTAAGTCTGTGCAAATAATGGGAACTGTTACAGATGTCCCCCACATACCTCCCACTGAGTCCACTTTTTCATTGGTAAATGGAACTCCCTCTCAAAATGTGGTGAAGGAGAAATGTGTAAGATGTAAGATGTTGCTTAAACACCTTCAGGTTGCGGGGGGTGGGGGAGAAGGAGGGGCATTCAGGAAGGAATTCCCAGTTAGTAATCTCAGCACCTCTGAAGGGCCAGTTCATTTCTGGAATCCATAAAACAACTCAACCAGGTAGGCTTGAATATCCCACTTTACAGTGAGGACATTGAGATCTGTGTTGTTTAGTCCCGGCTCCCTCCAAGGCCCTGGGCTTGTGTAGTTAGGTCTCTGCCAACCCCTCAGGCCCCATCTCTGTGTGTGACCCCTCCCCACCACTTCCCTCTGGACATGTATCATACTCTGCTAACATCGGCCCCTTGCACATACTGTTTCCTCTGCTTATACCCCTTCTCTCCATGCTCCTGGCCTCTTCGCCTGTTTGCAGATGCTTGTCCTCTATTTCCCAACTTAGATGTCCCTTGTGACTTCCCAGGCTGGTCTGAGCCTATCCTCACTCCCCATGCCCAAGAACCAGCCCCGTGATGCTATCACAGAGGAAAGCAGATCCCTGGATAGTAGTGAGAGAGTGGGCTGGGACTGTGCATTCACAGGTATGACCCAACACATAGCACCGATGTGGTGTTAGAAATACTGTGATATGATAGTGGTGTGAGAGTAAAGGAGACATGGTAGGGTCTGTTTCTGTTGACTGAACTAAATTTATAGTTCAATCTTAAGTGAAGAGGCCTATATAATCATATTGTAAGTGTCTAAAGTCTAGCTAGCTATCCATTTGTCCTGGGGCTGATCTGATACTACTAAATATATTTTTCCTTATGTTAAATTTTTTTTAAATGTATTATCTATTTTCTATTTTAATGTATGAAGCCCAATGTCTTGAAATCCAATGCCGAAAAAAAGGGGGTAAGAGTTAGCAAAAAATTTCATGTCATTATTAGAAAAGAAAGGACTTCTAAGGGGGTGGTAATTTTTTTTTCTTCACCTGGATTCAATACATTGCAAGATAAGTTTGTGAGACTTGAGCTTTACATACGTGGAACTTTCTGTATGTTTTAATGGAAAAAACAAAAACACAAGCGTGGGGTATATAGGCAAAAATCTTAAAAAACTTAGGTTTCCCAAATTCGTTTCTGGATGGAGCAACTTTGGCCATCACGTTGCTACTTCAGAACAAACCCTTAAGCCGGCACTCAGTCTGCTACTCACTGGGTTCCATCCTCAGCTCCCCGGTGCATTCACCCGTCATTATCAGGGCAAAGGAAGACCTGCAGGGCCCGTGTTCCCCGGCTTCCCGGCCTCCATACCACTGCCTGCTTCCCCAGCACCAGACCTCCAGTACAGTCGTCTCCGGAGCCCCCGACTCCAGGAACGTTTCCTTTACAGCCCTGCCTCGAGATCCCCGGTGGAAACCTTTCCTCCCGGCCCACACTGCTCATTATCATATTGGGTCCTAGAGGAACGGGGCTCGAGAAATATTTGCTATATGAACGATCAGGTTCTGGCCTGGGCCAGGGCACCAGTGCGGGCTCTGCCCTCTCTGGACTCTGCTAAAGCTCGGATCCGCGGAGTCAGAGCCGAACGGCCTCGGCCGCTGCCCACCTCAGTCCCGCCACAGCCCAAAGCTCAAGGGCGGCGGGACCGGCGGGACACACCACCGCGCGGAGGAAACAGAGGCGAAGCTAGCACGCCGCGGGACGAGGGGAGGAATGCCGGAAAACCACGCAGAACTCCGCCACCGGAAGTCAGTCAGTGGCGGCTGCAGGCTGGACGCTCTGGCATCCCGGAGGACCCGGAT